AAAAGCAAAAGCTCATCAAATAAGAAATCATGGACATGGTGTTCCACCACAGAAGTCCACCACTTAAACCACAGTGCTATGTTTAACAGGTAGACTCATTTTATCTTTGAATGAAAGTGACAGCCCTTAGAACAAATGAGGAAAAGAAAGCCTGAATTTACATGCTTATACATGCACTGAACTCTGAAGGTTGCATGGAATTGATTTTTCTTCAGTTTTGGTAGTAGTTCTTCGAACCATATGGAAAAAAAATGCATTTATGCAGGTTACATTAAGAAATGTGGGGGGAAGAGTAGAGGAGAAAATTATATGGAATTGGAGTACAACAGATAGCACAGGTCATTCCAAGTTATTTCCAATAGAATTAGAGGAATAAGACGGATTCCAAATATCATTTCAACGGTCTAATGTTCTAGCTAAAAAAGAATTATTGAGGATCAAATTTGAGGAAAGTCGATTTCCTCTTCCACAAAAAATAAGATTAAAAATAACTAGCTAAGATGCAAGCTACTGAAAAATCTTCTTTCTCGTACTGTGAAGCAAAGACTTGCGCCATACCCAGACTATTATCTCGGTAGTCAAGGAATATAAAGCATGAAAAGGAACGGCCATCTCAATGAGTTCCCAAGAAACAGTACATTTAAGAAGAGCAAAATATAAGGTGCAAAATTGGTAGCTTTATCATATATCATAAAGGAACTAATAATGACATACTACCTGCTGCAGAAGTTCCTGGTGTGACAGTGCGTCTTGCAACTCCTCTTTGTGTTTCCTTCTTAGTTCCCTAATTTCTTCTTCAAGCTGTTTCACATGACCTTCATGAGTGTCAGCTTCCTCCTTCAGAGCAAGATATTCTTGCCTATGTTCTGCTGCCTTCTGTCTCTCTTTTTCAAGAGATCTTGTTAGCTGTGTCTGCTCAGCCCTAAGACAAGATATCTGCAAAGTTCCCAACATTAACTAATGATCTAAATGAGCTCCACGGCTAGCACCAAGTAAAAGAAAGAGAACCTGAGCTTCAAGAACATTTATTCGTGATAAAGTTTGAGATAAACGCTCATTAATAGATCGCTCCTTTTCCTCAGCAGCTGCAGCTTTGGCCTCTGCTTCCTGTAAATTCATATTAAAAATGTCTTAGAAGTCTAAACTATAACACGATAAGTAGAAAGAAAAATATTTTCAAACCTGAAGCCGGGAATTGAGGGACCTTTCAACAGCAGCCCAAGCTTCTGCCCTCCTAGAAGCTGTCTCCTGCAATAATGTTAGAGCAAATCAAGTCGGACTACATGCAAAAAAACAATCATTTAACAACTTGATCCAATACACGGTAGAACCTGCATAGCTTCAATTTGCCTCAGAAGTGGCCTAGTAGACTCGGGAACTTGTGTTATTAACTCCTCACACCGACGCTCACTTGCCTAGCCACACATGGTTCCCATGTCAGATCATCAGATGGAAAGGAACATATGTTTACATACATGCACTCAAAAGCCCAAGCATGTATACACTAAAACAAATCCACACCCATCTATTGACAAAAATCTAGATAGAAACAGCAGAACACCAACAGCAATGCATCAAATGAACTTAACTTACTTGA